GGTGTGGTTCATGATCTTCCCGACTCTGGGAATACACCAGAATGTCATCAATAAACACAATGATGAATGAATCAAGATAGGGTTGAAATACATTATTCATTAAGTGTATAAATATTGTTATGGCGTTGGTCAGCCCAAAAGACATCACAAGGAACTCGTAATGACCGTACCGAGTCCTGAAAGCAGTCTTCGGAATATCTGGCTCCCGAATCTTCAACTGATGATAGCCTGAACATAAGTCAATTTTAGAGAATACCCTGGCACCCTGAAGTTGATCAAATAAGTCATCAATACATGGCAATGGATAAATGTTCTTCACTGTAACCTTGTTCAACTGGCAATAATCAATACACATCCATATAGAACCATCCTTCTTCTTTACAAATAAGACATGAGCACCCCACAGTGATACACTAGGCCGAATGAAACCCTTATTAAGCAATTCCTGTAACTGTTCTTTTAATTCTTTCAACTCTGTTGGAGCCATACGGTATGGTGGAATAGAAATGGGCTGAGTACCCGGTAATAAATCAATACCAAAAACAATATCCCTGTCGGGTGGAATACCTGGAAGATCTGCTGGAAATACATCAGGAAAATCCCTTACTACAGGAACTGACTCTACAGTAGGAGTATCAATACTAACATCTCTCACATAGGCCAGATACGCATCACACCCCTTCTCAACCATTCGTTGAGCTTTAAGAAATGAAACAACCTTGCTAGGAACATGATCTGAGGTACCTCTCCACTCTAGCTGCGGAAGACCCGGCATAGCCAATGTCACCGTCTTGGCGTAACAATCAAGAATAGCATGATAGGGAGACAACCAGTCCATGCCCAAAATAATATCGAAATCCACCATACTGAGCAATAATAAATCAGCTCTGGTCTCAAAACCATTGATAACAATTAAACACGACCGATACACATGGTCCACAATAATGGATTCACCCACGGGTGTAGATACATAAACAGAAGAACTCAAGTAATCATGTGATACGCCCAAATACGGGGCAAAATAAGATGACACATAAGAATAAGTGGAGCCTGGATCAAATAAAACTATTGCATCTCTATGACAGACCGGAATAATACCTGTGATAACATAATTGGATGCAACGACATCTATCCTAGGAGGAAGGGCATAATATCTGGCCTGGCCTCTCCCTCTAGGGCGACCTCTACCTGTTCGACCTCCACCTCTAGCTGGCTGTGCAGGTGGAGTGGCAACTGGTGCAGTAATCATGGCCTGAGAAGTTTGAGGACCCTGTGGAATAGGTGGGGCCTGAGAAATTTGTGGAGGAGCACCCCTCCTAAATCTGGGGTAATCTCTCATAATATGACGAGTGTCACCATACTCAAAACAAGCCCTCGGAGGACGTGGCTATTGGGACTGGCTCGAGCCTGATCGACTAGACTGTCCGCTGAAAGCAACCCGTACAGGAGGTACAGAAGACACTGGTGGTGCATAATATGGAACTTGAGGTCTGGGAGTAGTCGGAATACCACTGGAAGGTGGAAGTGCTGAATGAATAGGATGGCTCACATAACCTCTACCATGACGGGCTGCAACTGGGGCACGAGAATTATTATATGTTCCAGAACCTCGGGGTCTCTTAGCTTCCCTCTCTTCCCTCTCCCGAGTCTGCATACCTTCCAATCTTCTAGAAATTGACACCACATGTTGGTATGTGATGTCCATATCTAGCTCTCAGGCCATATTGCATCTGATACTAGGGTGAAGACCCTTAATAAATCTGCGAACCCGCTCTCGAACAGTAGCAACTAAGGCTGGTGCATGCCTAGCCAAATCACTGAATCGGACTGCATACTCTAACACAGTCATAGAACCCTGGC